CGTAATCTGAGGGTCGCGGGTTCGAATCTCCGTCACACCAAACATGCCAACCTCCGCCTTTGTCTGGTCTCAAGTCCAGGATGAGAAAGGAGGAGGGTTGGGCGCGGGGCTAGCAACTCCACCTCGTAAAAACCAACCTGCTACAAGTAACTGCAACAACAACTTTCCGTTGGTGAGGTGTTGTTACGGCCCCATGCTCCACTGGGAGTTTACAGGAATAAAAAAAAAGATGCTGGACCAACTAATGAATCATTACGTGCTATACATAGGTAATTCTAAATGTTCGCCACAATTTATAAGTATCATTGAAATTGAAATATTCAACTTTCATCAAAATAACCCACTGTGAATATAAGTATTTATTCTATCCCCCAGCATGAATTATTTGCCATAATTGGCCGAAAGTGCATCACATGTTATGAAACATTTTCAATTTTGCCTTGAAAGCCAGGCACAAATCTCATCAATGTTGCCCAGTTGTGAAGGCCGTTATCATGCAGGCGTTGTCGAAGCAGAACTTTGCAGACGACAATTTATGCAGCATAATGAAAACACGCTGATTCATTCAGGCCTAATTGCAAAAACTTTGCTCAAACCCGTAAAATGAATATGAACATATGGTATAAGATTTCAGTTCCTCACAGATGAAGAGAGCCGCAGAGTCGTTTAGGCAGCAGAAGACAATTTTTTACAGCACACTAAAAACACGTTTATTCATTTAGTCCTAATTTTCAAAAAATGTTGGAAATCTCGCCAGAATTCGAGGGAAATTTTATGATGAAGTTAGATAGGTGCATACTTTATACACACATATATATATATATATATACATTAAGTTTTGGTATGATCATATAATGATGGGCTGTTCTATTTTTAAACATATACAATTAAAGAATTTCTAAGTTTTATTGATTTATTACTGGTTTTTAAAATGAGATCAAAATCTTCAATATTAAAACTTTAGGATTTATATGTAGGTTCTAAGATGTAAGCTAAATATGCTACGTGATAGTGATAATTAATCAGATTTTAGTAAACTTGAAACACAAGAGGGAAGGATAGATTGAAACAATTATTGACTGGTGATTTCGGGAAACAGATAATTTGTTGCTTACTTAACCAGTCAATACTTGTTCGTTGTTGCATTTATACAGGAGTTGGGCGTGACCCTAGGTTTAGCGTGTCTAGATTGCGAATCCCAATATTTTTTGGCTCTCGACTCGATAACGCAGAAATGCACTCCATACTCTGGGGCCGTGAGTGCGCTATAAACGTGAAGGTCATATCCTACTATTCAATCAACAAAGAGTAGCCCAAGAGTTGGTGGTAGATGCTGTTGGCTATATGCCTTCTCAGTAATCTATCATTTCAAAATCAAGAAGGGTTATGCTTAGATAACCCTTGTGTAGCTTTGCGCTAAATTCTGAAACAAATAAACCAGCATTTCTTCAGTGCAACGTTTCAGCTTTAATATAATAACCTTTAAGACATTTGTGTAGATTACAAGATCTTGAAATTCCCCTTTACCCCAGCAGGTTTACCTCACTATTTTATTTGTTGTTTTTTTAACTTTCGTCAGATTTGTTTTGTTGTTCCCTACAGTCTTCAATAATCGATTTGTAGAGTTTATTTCCCCGAAAGGGGACCAAAGGCCGCTTGAATGGGTCACTTATTTTAACCACTCGCACCACTATGCAGTAGTGTGTTTTCTGTCAGTCAATCAGTAGACACTAAAATTATATCACATAAGGGACACTTGACGTTGCAATTTGTACTGTCGTGACGTCAGTAAAACGTGTGCGTGCCATGAATCACGAGAAGAATTATGCACTCTATAGGACACAACACAGCATGACATATGAACTACAAAAGCAAGAATTAAAAATATTTGTTACTATTAATTCTGGGTATAATTACTCTTGAAACAGAAAATTTTCGGAGACTCTGCGGAAGTACATCTAGTATATATAGATCTGTATATTCAAGCTTGGTGGAGTACTTGACATGGCTTTCGTGTAACTTCAAAACATGTTCTACTAATTGCCTGAAAAAAAATAACAATTCTACAGGGTGTCCGAAAATCTGGAACCATGGGCACTTCAATGAATTTTACAGAATGTGTTCCACATGCTATTCTTGTAATTCGTTTTCGCGAAATTCAAAACAAACAAACCAGAACCTAGTAATTCGAATAAGTTTGGATTAACAGAAAGATTAACTCGACCTTCTTATGCTTTGACAGCACCATAATCAGACATGTATCTGAAAGTAAGCAAAGCTTCATATCATCTATGGTTGCAGACTTTTCGGACACCCCTATTATTATTTGAAATCATAGTACTTTAGATACATCTTGGTGAAAAATCGATGATTTTATGCAGTCGCATGTAAAATTGCATGTCAGCGTATCATAACATTTTATGAATGTTGTCAAATCCAAACACAATTGTTCGCTGGAGTTATAGTGTTTAACATGTTACAGCCAATTCAACGAAAAAGCAGACCTAGCTTTTGGTATGTGCACAACATAACCGGTGACTTCTTCACCAATTAAGTCATTCTCTGTTTAGCCAGTTTCAGAGTTATTCTCATGCATACCAAATAGACAGAAAACAAAAGGGAGTCCTAGGCTTTTCTAGTCGAAGAACGCGTGATACTAATGCTCCATTCGACATGGTATGGAAAGCCAGAGGTCTTCACGAATGGGCGGTAGGCGTTGTTAATATCCTATATAAAGGTTGCTGTTCTCTAAGTGTAAAACTTCGACGCTTTTCATGTTAATTTGACACTAGTAATTTTTGTGAATTTTGCTTTATTTTCAAAATGGTATGATACTTTTTTGTTAACTTAATATGCGTACAGGATTTGAATTTCCATATTCTTTAATGTGAAAATACCAGCCTGGCAGTAAAGGTCATGAACCTTGAACTTGCTTGCTGCTTTTCACATGTTGAACCTCAAATCCCCGCTTCTCTTGCACGTGCACAAACTCATTTTAATAGGAGAGAGAATCTTTATGGAATTTCAAGGGGTATTACATTGTCTCGTTTTTCTATAGCATCGTTTCCCATAACCAAAAGCCCATGCATTGTTAGAAATACGTCCATACGTGTTTTATTACCCTTGATATTTGCATAATATATTCTATTATATTCACTCCCTTCCCTCTTTTCCCTATCGTGGGAGGGTTGGACAATCCAGGAGAGAGGGAGAGGGGTTTGCGGGTGTTTCGTTCACCTGGCTTATCTGTATTCTGATTGTATGAAGCCTTTGGATTTTTAAAACGTGGATCTTAGATAAAGCATCCGTTAGGGATTTCCAACCGAATACAGTTTCATTTATTTCATTTCAAACACGCCAAATCTCATAAAGACTCGTGTTTTCGCAGAAAAATGTGTATTATTATTAAAGCAATATGTTTACGTTTTTAATATAATTAAACAAACAACAAAAAACGTATTTTCTAGTTCGTGGCATTTATATTAACTCCATGACGTGTTTACTTATATTGTAAAAAGGGCCATAATAATAAAAATAATGTGATTTAAAAATTTGTTCATATGGTGCAGCTACATTATTGCACATTATAAGTATAGGAAACCATACTTTCCAGACTAACCGTGTGGCGGCGCGGAGTTCAGTAATAGTCTCCTCAAGGTGTTTTGTTTGTTTTAAGTTAAGCACAAAGCTACACAATGGGCTATCTGTGCTCTGCCCACCTCGGGTATCGAAACCCGGTTTCTAGCGTTGTAAGTCCGCAGACATACCGCTGTGCCACTTGGGGGCGTCTTCAAGTTGAGAGCCATGGTTTTTGGAAATATGCTTATTAAAATAGTAAACGACTACTTGAATCATCTAGAGACTTAAACATCTGGGTATCTGTACCTAGTTCTTTGTTTCGTTTGTTTGTTTGATATCAAGCACAAAGCTAAACAATGGGCTATCTGTGCTGTACCCACAACGGATATCGAAACCATTTTTTTTCTACTTATAATTTGAATAAGTTGCTACTGTTTTAAATGAGTCTGAATGCAAGAGATTTATTAAATGTTACCATTATTAAAAATTCCAAAGCCTCGACCTTGTTTTCTGATATGGTAGGTTAGGAATTACAATAGCGAGTGTGTTATTTTTTAATGAACGATTTTAATTTCAATAATTTTAATAACGTGCCTTCTCTTCGTAGCTGACCTGGAGCTTGTTCACACAAAAATAAATTATGTCCACACCAATGAAACTGGAAGCAAAACATGTTGCTAAGTGCCATACCCACAGAGTTGTGTCACCCCCAGATGTTGCTAAGCATAAAAATGTGTGTGTCACAACAAAATGTTGCTAAGCAAATGTATATAATCACAGAGTTGTGTGCCACTACCAGATGTAGCAATATATATATATATACACCCACAGAATTATGTTTCACCACCAGATGCTGCTAATCAAATATATACTCATAGTTGCATGTGTCTCCAAATGTTACTGAGCGATATGTATATGTGTGTCTACTGACAGAGTTAGATAGTGTACCCAGTGTCTCATGTCATTACCAGATATTGCTAAGTCCCGTGTTACCACTAAACGTGGTTAAGCAATATTTATATCCACAATGTTGTATATCACCACTACATATTGCTAAGCCATACATTTGTAACTATTGTTCCATGAAATTGGTGTTTGTACTGCATATAATACTTAATGATTGTTCATAAACGAATACTATGATATTTTGTGTAGCTTTCACATCCCTACCAGGTAGTGAATTAACTATTGTCTCTACAGGTTCTGCATCGTTATGATATAAATAATGGAACTTTATTAAATCTCATTCTATTGTTACATTTCACGAGTTTGCATCAGTTTAATGGAAACAATTCTATTTGTTAACCATAAAGCGATTATGTGCAATTGAAGAATGAGGTTATTCATAATTGAGCAAATTAGAGTGTTTTTTTTTCTTTCGAGACATACATTTTTAACTCTTGGAATCCTTTGTTATACAGCTCAGTCAAGAGCTCCAAGAATTACGGAGCATCCCAGAGACTTACTGGTTAAAAAACAACAGCCTGCTAAACTCAACTGTAAAGCTGACGGTGTACCGACCCCGGTAATTGAATGGTATCACAATGGAAAACTGGTAGAAGGGACTTCCAATCGGATTATGCTCGTTAATGGCGTTGGCGTGGCACTCTTTTTTCTTCACGTCCTCCACGGCAAGAGGGACCAGGACACGGGGACCTACTGGTGCGTTGCACGAAATCATTTAGGTGAAGCAAGAAGTCGTAACGCAACGCTGGAAGTTGCAAGTAAGTTTTTGGAGGGATATTAAAAATATTTAGGCGAAACAAAATGAGCACTGTTAGCCTATTATACGAGATCATATACATCAAATTATGAGTACATTAAGTATATATGTACTGTATATCCAACATCACACTGGTAGTTGTGGCTAGAAAGATTCCCTTTTTGTTTACATGCAAAAACAATTTATGATTGTGTGGTACAAGACAAAAAAAAAAGAGGAGGGGGAGGATTATCCATCACATAATTTGCTGGATTTCGTCTATAAAGATGACTTTCAATTATTAAAATAAAGTACCTTTTTTTTCAAGGAGAACAAAATTTGTTATATATATATAAACCAATATATATTTTACCATTCCTTCGCTATAACGAAAAGAATCGTTGTTGATATATAAATAAATGGAATATTATGCCATACCTTCTCCTTGGGTAAAAGTATTGGGGATATGTAAGTACATTGAAAACAACCTACTCCTCTGGATAACAGTATTGTTGAAATGTAAACAAATTACATCTTGTGTCTTACCTTCTCCTTGGATAAAAGTATTGTTGATATGTAAACACATTACATTTTATGCCTTATCTTCTCCTTGGATAACAGCATTGTTGATATTTAAACTTGTAAACTTCACTATTTGCAGAATTATGGAACTTTCAAGTCAGATTTTATTGATGTTCTATGGTTTAGTCTAAGCCAACTTTTTTTATTACTATTATACATGTATGTTGATAGAGATTAAACTTTAAATATTTTATATTAATTGCAGTCAGACGAAGAAGGTTCGTTACGTAATCAATGAACAAATTCATAACAAAATTATTTTTAGGCTTTCTCTTTTCAGTGTGTGTGTGTCGCTTATTTTGTTGTAACATTAAATGATTCGAGATATCTTAACTCTGCTGAACGTATCAGTGTGGTGCACATCTGCAGCATTTATAACAAACAAGACAAAAAAAGTGAATGTCTTAACTTGCGGGAAACATAAAGAGACACAAATTTTTAAAGTCTAGAAGAGTTTCACAGAAATGATTTGAATAGAGAAAAACAAGTAGCGCCACATTGTACATGACACACTATTAGCAATTAGTGGTTCAAAACGTAAGTCCTTGTCAGGATTTTATTCTATTATTTCCCTTTCTGAGTGCCGATTACGATGTTAGGATCGTTGTCGTCTTCGATATCGCCGATAGCATTTGACAAGTTAGCAAAGACGACAGATTTGATAAGACCGACCTGTCAGCTATGGGAATTGCCCGTTAGGACCAGCCTGATAAACAGCGGGATTTCTCGCCCTCCCTGGCAACACTGTCCTCACAGCTAACCACTACTGCTTATTAGAATTCCACCCTTAGATCATGAAACGTGCTTGGAATCTCATTAAAAGACGTATTTTATGGAGGGTTTTTCTGAAAAAAAAAAGTATAGGTGGGTGCTATTGAAGGCCTGCAATTATTATTAGCTGTTTTACAAATGTTAAAAGATTATTATGATCTTTATTCAACCACATTTGTTGTAATGTATATCTAGAACAGTAAATTAAAATTTTATATAATTTCCAGGCTTTCTAACGTATGTTTCTGTTACACACAAATAACCATATTTCTAATTGAATATATGTAGTTTTGAGATCCCTGTAAATAATCACATATGCAAAAAAGAAGAAGAAGACGTCAGGCGACTCTGAATTTCACTTCTAAACAAAATAATAACCAACAACACAGTAACACAGCTCACACCACAATTTCGTTCCAAAGACCAGTTAGAAAACTTATGCAAAGTTAGAACAACTTTTCTCTCCCCCGCAGTGTGTCTTAATAATACACACAACGAAATGGATTAAAATATGTTTCATTCCATAAGCTAATCCATAACTACTTTTAATCTCAAATAGTTAGCTTTCATCTCCAATATATCAGATATAACTTTCCCCTTCAATCATGGATTTGATTGTCTCCAACATAGCAAATAATAATTCATTTTTTTTTAAATTGAATCCTTCGAACATTGGAGAAGAAAGATATTTCCGTATTTACGTACTGATCCAGTCCATGATTAGAGGCAGTAAACTGAAGTTTGATTCACCATAAAAAACAGATCTCGTAGCCACATAGCATCACATTAACACTATTCAAGAAGAAAAAAGCTCGTCATAACACCATTGTAAAAATTAGCCTCCAGAAATTTATGCTTAAGTGATTCAGCATTGCATCTCATTGCCTTTAAGCTTTGTTTGGTTACATTCAGAACGTCGTTTAACAGGTTAGTACGACTCATCTGAATTCACAATTTATGGCTTAGACATAGATAGCATTGTGGTATAATTCGGTAGACTTGGAAATACATATACAACAAAATCAATGATCGAACTTATTCATACGTGCCAATATAAAATATTTATAAAGTCGAATCGTTCGTTAAAATCTGGTATCTTCTCAACTTGAGTATTTTTCACACTCATTTTACAATATCTGGTTAGAAGCAAAATTGCCTATGCTAAATTATTTGACATTAAATACAGCTTAAAAAAAAGAAACACACAACTACATTACAGAATTTATAACTTTTTGTTTATAATCTTGCAACGTAGAAGAATGATAGTCACATAATTAATTGTTGATATGATATGTGTTACGATAGTGAAAAAAAGGTGGACATTCAGCTTGGAGGTAAATTAGAAAAACAAAGAACTGGATTAGACTAATTCAGCCTTACTAAATTGCAATAGAATGGATTAAGAATCTTTCATACTACAAGCTAATCCATAACAAATAAAGTATTGTTTATGGCTATAATATATCTTAATTTCCGTTTTAATTGCAAATATTGAAACAAAATTTAAGCTGTTCTTTTTTTTCATCTCACAGATAGTCAATTGTAATACTCAGTTATCTTTGACAATACGTCGATTTATTTACTCAGGTTGTGTTCAATTTCGATGGCTAATATAGACGGTCATGGTTGTGTTATATTTATTTCTATAATGTGTTTGACTTTCCAATTTGATTTTCAAACATTAAAATACAATTACAATTTACTGGGTTACTTTCTTCGACTGTAAATGTTTTGTAGCTTTTGAAATCCGATATTGTTTAGGACTTCTGCTTCAAAAGTTTTGAATACGCGATAGGCCTACTTGCTCAGGTCTTGTTCTGTTTCATTATATAGCGAACCCTGAACTCTGTAAAATTTCTAATCCAAATAGATTGTAAAGTCCAAATGAAAAGGTAAGAGAATGTGCTGCGAGGTAAATACAAATAAAGCCTAAATGCACATTATATATTGGACCTAATTGTTTCATATTTAAGTCTAGTCACGATAATTATTTAAATTGTGTATTTCAGGTAGCCATGTTCTTAGTTTAGTAAACATTTTGGCACTTCATACGTTTCCTAGAAAGATATGTGCTATATACGCTCTTTTTAGCTTTCATACGTTATGTTGAAATCATAGGTAAAATTATTGACCTCTAAAATTATAGAGAAAAATTGCCACGCAAATTAATAAGAAGAAAATTAAACTAAAACACACCACTACTTGACATTTCACTTGGGGAAGTTATACGCTTAACACAATGATTAGGTGCTGTTCAGAAACAGGAAATACAGTAATAATAGTCATGAAAATATCCTTGTATAGATGTTATCAAACAAAGCAAAAATTAAGAATTTGCTAAAAACAAGAAGTTTAATAAAACGACAATGCTCTTAGCATTAGTCATTCATTGTGCCTTTATATAGAATCTGTGACTAGTTTGTGACACCATTTTTAAGTATTGTACATTAAAAATGATGAATATTTCCTTAAAGAATAACTCATATAACTAATAAGCGATATGTTATTAATTTAGCTTTTTCTGCTTCACTAACAACTAATCTACTGAGCCCTTTCTTTACATTGCTTAGAGAGGGAATATTGTATTAGATTCAACAAATTAAATATATTAACGTCTGCTGAACTTATCACAGCTTCAATGAATATTCGGTTTTTCTAGTTTTTAGTTACGAACTTTGTTTGTAGGAAAATTTGAGCTGAATAAATATAATTCCTTTTAGTATACACGGAGCTGTAAACAACAATGAAATTAATAAGTTGTAATTAATGCAAGAAAAATATCACGATAGTTTAATCTTCAAAGTGATGACGATATTAATAGTAATGTAAAAACCAAACTTTTATAAAATAATATGAACCTGTAATATGTTTACAGAAAACAATGTTTATTATTTTTTCTTTTGTTTTGAAATCACTCTTGTTTGTTGTGTTACCTAGAAATAATACAATATATCCTGTAGTACCAAATAAGCTGGAGCAGCAAGGTAGGTAGGTATATTCTTTACATTTGTCGCTACGTTTCAAGTGAAATTACGTTTTATTTTCGATTTTAATATGTCGTAAACTGAAGAAACCAGAAATATCACCAGTCTTTTATCATTTAAGTGATCTAAATGGTTACATACTAAACAATAAATTAACCAAATTCTGCAGAAAAACCAAGATGGTGATTTCATATTTAGTTAAAACGAACTTTCTAGAACAATATGTGTTAATGTAGTTCTTAATCTTTTCATCTTTTCAGCAGGGGATGATTATTGATAATTTGGTAACCGTTAAATCATTAACCTATATTCGATGTCTCAAGTGGATGATAAAATAATTTTTTTATAGATGAAATAATTATGCTTTTATGACCACCAACGAATTTTATTTCTATCTTAAATATAAACCTAACTTTAAACACGAATATCACGATCTACTTTCGTAGTTGAATTACGAACCACATGAATAAAATGGAAGTTTTTAAAGCATGTAACAAATCTACGATGTTCAGCAAATAACATATATTTAGTGTATACATATATATTATGACGACATAGGAATACGAATACTCATTCTTTGCTAAAAACAACGTTATATAAAACTTATGAAAGTGAAATAAGAAAAAGGTACAGACTATTTGTGTATTTTGTGCAAGCCTATGTTGCACAAATTAAGTTGTTTTGT